ATGCCTAAAGCCACTATTACGCAATGCGTTTCGGGCAAGAAAAACATTAATATCTAGAACTTAATACTAATTGAGCATAAAGAATAAAAAGTGTTGAGAACAAATACAAATAAAGATAAAAAAAAAAAAAAAAAAAAGGGGGAACATGACTGGAAAAGCAGCACAAATACAATAGGTTGACAAACAGTGTTGATTAAAAAAAAAAGAAAATAACAGACATGGGTTGACAATGGAGGAGTGAGGTAGATTACAGGGAATTTATTAGGTAGTGTTTAGTTTTTATCTTAAACTGGTTGAGAGAGGTGCAGTCTTTAACATGGTTGGGAAGGTCATTCCACATTCTGGGCCCCTTGATTTGCAGAGCATTTCTAGCTTGATTAAGTCGTACTCTAGGAATATCAAAACTGTATTTATTTCTGGTGTGGTGCTCATGGGTTCTGTTACAACCTTCTATGAAGCTTTTGAGATCAGGATTGGCATTATAGTTTAGCGTTTTATATATGTATAATACACATGAGAGAATGTGCAGTGACTTAATATCTAACATATTCAGAGATTTGAGTAGGGGTACCGAGTGATGTCTGGGGGCCAGAGTTGGATATTGTTCTAATAGCAGCTTTGTGTTGGGTAATTAGAGGACGTAAGTGATTTTGGGTAGTAGAACCCCAAGCACAAATACCATAGTTGAGATAAGGATAGATAAGGGAGTAATAGAGAGTCACCAGGGCAGGGCGTGGTACATAATATCTGATCTTAGAAAGAATGCCCACAGTTTTTGAAACTTTTTTTGATATATTTAGAATGTGTCCCTGGAAATTCAGCTTGTGGTCAATGAGAATGCCAAGGAATTTGCCATCTAATTTGTTACAAATTTGGGTATTGTTTATTTTGAGATTTATTTGACTAGAGGATTTGTTGCCAAACAGAATATAGAAAGTTTTGTCAATGTTAAGGGTGAGTTTGTTGGCAGTTAGCCAAAGATGGGCTTTATTTAGCTCAGAATTTACTGTGGCATTTAGAGCAAGAGGGTCAGGACTGGAGTAAATGAAGGTTGTGTCGTCAGCAAATAGAATTGGTTTGAGGTGTTGGGAGGCATTTGGAAGGTCATTAATGTAGATGAGAAAGAGGAGAGGGCCAAGTATGCTGCCCTGAGGAACACCAATGTTGATGGGTAGGGTGGGAGAAATTGTATTATTCACAGAAACATATTGGAGCCTGTCAGTAAGGTAGGACTCGAGGTATTGTAGGGAGTGTCCTCTGACTCCATAATGATGTAATTTAAAAAGAAGGTTATGGTGGTTGACAGTATCAAAAGCTTTACGCAGGTCCACAAATAACCCAACAGGGAACTCATTTTTATCAAGAGCTGTATGAATCGAGTTAAGCATACTAATAAGTGCATCGTTAGTGCTTTCTTTGGGTCTGAAGCCATATTGGCAAGGGCTAAGTATATTGAGTTTGGCTAGATATGAGTAAAGCTGCTTATATATTAGTTTTTCAAAAAATTTTGACAAGTTTGGCAGGATTGATATAGGTCTGTAGTTGTTAACATCTGTGGGGTCACCACATTTGTGGACAGGCGTTACTCTCGCTTTTTTTAGAATATCTGGAAAGGTTTGGAGTTCAAGTGACTTGTTGAAGAGCAAAGCAATAGCAGGGGCTAAAGATCTGGAGGCTTTTTTGTAAATTAAAGTTGGTATCTCCTCAAGGGCACCAGACTTGGTTTTAAGGGAAAGGATTATCTCATTGACGTCAGTGGAGTTAATAGGCTTTAGGTACAGAGACTGTGGATAGTTACCTGTAAGATAGTCCTTAATGTCAGTACTGGAAGATGGAATATCATTTGCAAGGGATGAACCAATGGAAGAGAAGAACCTATTGAACTCAATAGCAGAATCAGAGGCTGAAAGCTGACCATCGTTATTAGACAAGAGAGTCGGTTTGTTATTTAAAGATTTCTTTGATCCCAATATTTGTGAAATTGTGCTCCAAGTTTGTTTAATGTTGCTCTTTATTTGAGTAAATTTATCTTCGTAGTATTTAGTTTTGGCTCGTCTAATTATCTTAGATAGCAATAATGAGTAATTATTTGAGAATTCTTTGGAGACAATTCCTAACCTATACTTCTTCTCAAGGTCGTGTTTTTTGTTAATGGATTTCAGTATTCCCTTTGTAAGCCAAGGATTGTTAAGCCTTTTGCTTGTGACTTGTTTTGTAAGCCTAGGACAGTGGGTGTTATAAAGGCTAAGAGTTGTTTGTAGAAAAGATTGCACTGCTAGGTTGATGTCCCCTATGTTACCTAACTCGGACTCCCAGTTGACATTATCAGCAGCAGTTATAAAATTGTTTATAGCAGTTTCATTGTGCAGCCTAAAGCTTAACTCCCTTGTTTCTAGAGGTGGTTTGCTAATGTTAGTTAAGAGAAATGTGGGGTAATGGTCTGTAGTGCTATCGGTGATTATACCTGAAGTAAGCGGAGAGGTTATGTTGGTCCAGATGTGATCTAGAGTCGTGGCAGTGCTATCAGTGATTCTAGTAGGTCTAGTGATTAAGGGTATGAGGAAGCAGGAATTCATACAGTTGAGGAAGCTAACAGCAGTAGGGTGTTCTGGCTCGCAGAGGTCAATATTAAAGTCCCCTGCGATAATTAGGTGGTTTTTGTTCAGTCTGTTATCAAGTATTAGATTTCTAAGGTTTGAGTTGAATTCAGACACATCAGTGTTGGGAATTCTATAGACTGCACCCACAGACAGGACAGACTCGGCACTCGGCACCCATATGTATAATTAAATGCTATATAAAAGTAAATCAACAACAAGATTTAAATTGTATTATATATTTTTAAAGACTTATTACAAACATTTTATTTGTTATTAAGTATTTTACAAACGATAATATAAATGTTTATTTCTAAACTTTTTCTTAAAATTTATGTTTTTATATTATGAGCGCTGGGACATGCACTACTTGGCAGTGTCGTGATGAAAATTTTGTAACAATAAATGTAGTATATATCCTTAAAGATGAGTGTAAAATGCTGTTGTCGTCTGATCTTCGATTTTTCTCTCAATGAACGTCGCTTCTGGCTCGTATGCGTTACATAAGGCCAAAAATTTTCCTCCTAAAAAATTGAAGCTGCTCGCGAAAGTGAAGAACTGTCCCGTCTTCTGTTATGGGTCCTCTGGTAGGTTAGGAATGGATTCTAAGTCCTTCGTTTTCTTGACGATTGGAAGCCTTAGGAGGACGGGCTGCTGCAACACCTCCAGAAGGACGTTAATTTGGCCGACTTTTTTTTTTGGGGGGGGGGAGGGGGGAAAGAGCTTGTTAAAAATGAAATTACCTTACGTATATTAAAACAGCTCTGGGGACTGAAGTCTTTCAATAACCATTGACATAGTTGCAACACTACTCGCCGGGGGGGGGGGGGGGCAGTGTAGAGACGAGTCAAGTAATTAACTTTTAATTTAAACATCATGAAACATGTTTGATTTAGGTTAAATCTTCGGGACTTTAGTCCGTAATTTGTTAAGTGTTAGAATTTGGTCATATGCGTATTATCTTATTTTTTTGTTATATACTAGAGTTCTTACATTATTGTAGCATTTTGATTTTACCGAAGTAAACAATATATATAGCGATAAAGATTGTCTGTTAGGTTATCTCTATGAGGCTGGAGGCCAGATACTTAGTGATACCCAAACCTAATTTTGTAAAATGGTTGGTCTGGGGTATGGGCCGCACATAGGCTGCTCATGGACGGTATTCTCCCAGGCTCTTTCACTACACTCCCAGGCTCTTTCACTACACTCCCAGGCTCTTTCACTACACTCCCAGGCTCTTTCACTACACTCCAAGGCTCTTTCACTACACTCCCAGGCTCTTTCACTACAATCCCAGGCTCCTTCACTACACTCCCAGGCTCTTTCACTACACTCCCAGGCTCTTTCACTACACTCCCTGGCTCTTTCACTACACTCCCAGGCTCTTTCACTACACTCCCAGGCTCTTTCGCTACACTCCCAGGCTCTTTCACTACACTCCCAGGCTCTTTCACTACACTCCCAGGCTCTTTCACTACACTCCCAGGCTCTTTCACTACACTCCCAGGCTCTTTCACTACACTCCCAGGCTCTTTCACTACACTCCCAGGCTCTTTCACTACACTCCCAGGCTCTTTCACTACACTCCCAGGTTCTTTCACTACACTCCCAGGCTCTTTCACTACACTCCCAGGCTCTTTCGCTACACTCCCAGGCTCTCTCGCTACACTCCCAGGCTCTTTCACTACACTCCCAGGCTCTCTCGCTACACTCCCAGGCTCTTTCACTACTCTCCCAGGCTCTTTCACTACACTCCCAGGCTCTTTCACTACACTCCCAGGCTCTCTCTCGCTACACTCCCAGGCTCTTTCACTACACTCCCAGGCTCTTTCACTACACTCCCAGGCTCTTTCAGTACACTCCCAGGCTCTTTCACTACACTCCCAGGCTCTCTTGCTACACTCCCAGGCTCTTTCACTACACTCCCAGGCTCTCTCTTTTCACTCCCAGGCTCTTTCACTACACTCCCAGGCTCTCTCAATGCACTCCCAGGCTCTCTCGCTACACTCCCAGGCTCTCTCGCTACACTCCCAGGCTCTCTCGCTACACTCCCAGGCTCTCTGGCTACACACCCAGGCTCTCGCGCTACACTCCCAGGCTCTCTCGCCACACACCCAGGCGCTCTCGCCACACTCCCAGGCGCTCTCGCCACACTCCCAGGCGCTCTCGCCACACTCCCAGGCGCTCTCGCCACACTCCCAGGCGCTCTCGCCACACTCCCAGGCGCTCTCGCCACACACCCAGGCTCTCTCGCCACACACCCAGGCTCTCTCGCCACACACCCAGGCTCTCTCGCCACACACCCAGGCTCTCTCGCTACACTCCCAGGCGCTCTCGCTACACTCCCAGGCGCTCTCGCTACACTCCCAGGCGCTCTCGCTACTCTCCCAGGCACTCTCGCTACACTCCCAGGCGCTCTCGCTGCACTCCCAGGCGCTCTCGCTGCACTCCCAGGCGCTCTCGCTGCACTCCCAGGCGCTCTCGCTGCACTCCCAGGCGCTCTCGCTGCACTCCCAGGCGCTCTCGCTGCACTCCTAGGCACTCTCGCTGCACTCTCAGGCGCTCACGCTGCACTCCCAGGCGCTCTCGCTGCACTCCCAGGCGCTCTCGCTGCACTCCCAGGCGCTCTCGCTGCACTCCCAGGCGCTCTCGCTGCACTCCCAGGCGCTCTCGCTGCACTCCCAGGCGCTCTCGCTGCACTCCCAGGCGCTCTCGCTGCACTCCCAGGCGCTCTCGCTGCACTCCCAGGCGCTCTCCCTGCACTCCCAGGCGCTCTCGCTGCACTCCCAGGCGCTCTCGCTGCACTCCCAGGTGCTCTCCCTGCACTCCCAGGCGCTCTCGCTGCACTCCCAGGCGCTCTCGCTACACTCCCAGTCTCTCTCGCTACACTCTCAGGCTCTCTTGCTATGGGTTATAAATAACTAATATAATTTAGTGTACTATAAAAAGTCAATTTTTTTACATTTTTCTTTTTGAATACAAATATAGTTTTAAGTTTATTATATATATTTACAAGCAATAAACAAGTTTATCAATAAACGCATAAAATTTTTAATATATATCCATAAAAGGATATTGCAAAAAAGTTATGGGTAACCTAATAATCAACAAATGATAATGCAAATATTTTTTTTCTAAGCTTTATAGAAAGCTTTACCTATTTAAATATTGCGTGCAGTGATGAGTTTTTAATCTTCGAAGTTGTATAAAAAAAATTTTTTGCATTATATAAAATATTATTACAGAATAATTTAGAGACGAGGTTTAAAGGCTATCTTCGTCTGATCAACGTGTCCTCTTTCGAGGACCTTCACATATCGCTCGCTTGCATTAATTTATGTAAAAAATTGTCGTACTAGAAAATGGAGGAGATTCGCGAAAGTGACGTTCTGTCCCGTTTTCTGTTATGGGTCCTCTGGTAGGTTAGGTGAGAACACTAATTTTACCTTTTTCTTGAGGTTAGGAAGTCATAGAAAAACCGGCTGCTGCAACACCTCCAGCAGGACGTTATTTTGGCCTACTTTCTCTTCGTGGGGGTGGGGGGCTTGACTAAAAGGAACTTACCTTACGTATATTAAAACAGCTCTGGGGACTGAAGGCTTACAATAACCAGTGACGTAGTTGCCGTTGGCAATACTACGCCAGGGGGGGGGGGAGGACACTCACAGATACAAGAACAATTTTCAATTAAATTGTTCTCAAATTCCGAATTTAATTTCGAAACATCTTCAAATTCCACCCTTACTGATGTAACATTGGACCTGCTCCCAGAATATCGGGGGAACTCTCTCTCTGTACTATGGGGAAACTAGTGGTATTCAGGGGTAAGGTCAGTCAGAATAAAGATGTATCTATTTGGGGAGATCAGTAAGGCCCGGCCCCCATGGAAACTAGAAGTAGTGCTGACTACTTGGCTACACAACAAGGTCAGTCTAGGGAATGATCAAGATCTCCTACACAGGAAGAACGATACTCTTATAATTCATGTACATATTTATTAACCCTTTAACAGCCCCCCATATACATTCACACCAATAACAATAATAATAATAACTTTACCACACTACCTTACGTTAAAAGCCTTGGTCCACATAAGCAGGATACAAGGTTTTACACTGAACACAAGCTAGGGTAAAGCTCTACTATTGAATAAGCACTGAAGCTGGATGCAGCTTAGGGTAGTGAGACCACGTGGTACCCTAATACAAAACACAACACTTAGGGGTACCTAAAACACTGGCAAATACTACCCCCAGGTCTCACCAATCGTTACTACCAGAGTAGGCACACTTAAAACACCATACTTAACTTAATGGTACAGGAACTTAAGGTAAGGGAAATAAGTAAGAGGAGAAGGGAGGAGAGTAGGGGTGCAGCCACAGAGTAGGTCTCGTCCCCACAAACGCCAGCCAGAAGAAGAACGCTCCCAGCGACCAACTTAGGCCTCCCGCATGTGGTGGTGCCGGAAGGAACCTAATTGATCGTGCAGCTAAGCACATTAAAAATCTTCCCCTATGCAACATATTGTTACTTTACAAATGATTAGAGTATTAGTAAACATAGTTGGTGCCTATGTTATTATTTAATAATCAACCCACAGCTCAGTCTTGAAATGCTCTTTGAGAAACAAGAATAGTCTTACGTCTGGCAGGGAAGATACAAACAAAGACACTTCGAGTTGCATTTTGCTACTCTAACGTAGCTTATTTAGTTCAATTTTGACCTCTGGTTTCCACTGAAGAACCCAGGGTCGTAACACCCATGTTCTCATGCTACACTCCCAGGTGAACAGCATGGGTGCCATAAGCACAATCAGAGAACACTGTATAAACATCAGAGGTCCACGGTTGTTCAACATCCTCCCAGCGAGTATAAGAAATATTGCCGGAACAACCGTGGACATCTTAAAGAGAAAACGAGATAGTTTTCTTCAAGAAGTGCCGGACCAACCGGGTAGTTGGTGGATACGTGGGCCTGCGGGCCGCTCCAAGCAACAGCCTGGTGGACCAAGCTCTCAAATGTCAATCCTGGCCTCGGGCTGGCTTGGGGAATAGAAGAACTCCCAGAATCCCATCAAGCAGATTCTCTCGCTTCACTCCCATGTTCTCTCTCTCTACTCCCCCATGTTCTCTTGCTACGCTCCCAGGGTATCTTGCTACGCTCCCAGGGTATCTCGCTATGACCCCAGGCACACTCTCAACACTCCCAGGCTCTCTCACTACGCTCCCACGTTCTCTCGCTACACTCCCATGTTCTCTAGCTTCACTCCCAGGATCTCTAGCTTCACTCCCATGCTCTCTAGCTTCACTCCCAGGCTCTCTAGCTTCACTCCCAGGCTCTCCTGCTTCACTCCCAGGCTCTCTTGCTGCACTCCCAGGCTCTCTAGCTTCACTCTCAGGCTCATTCACTACACTCCCTGGGTCTTTGCTACGCTCCCATGTTCTTTTGCTTCACTCCCATGTTCTCTTGCTTCACTCCCATGTTCTCTTGCTTCACTCCCATGTTCTCTTGCTTCACTCCCATGTTCCCTTGCTACACTCTGAGGTACTCTGGCTATGCATGGTAAATAACCAGTATAATTTAGTTTACTATAAAAAGTCAATTTTTTATATTTTTTTCTTCTTTTAATACGAATATTGTTCCAAGCTAATTATATATAGTTATATGCTATACAGAAGTTTTGCAAGGCTTGAATAAAAATTTTAATATATACCAATAAAAGATATTTGCAAATACTTTATTATTTACTAAATAATCTACAAATAATAATACAAAGAGTTCTGGTCAATTTTTGTGGTAATATAAAACTAATTAAATAACAAGTGCCATTATGTGATTATAATAGAAAATCTATACTCTAATTTTTGAAACATTATATAGCTCAAAATGCTGATGGTTTTGAAGACTAGGCTATGGTCGTTTTTACCTAGTCTTCTTTCGAAGACTATCGCATTTCAATCATATGAATTACCTTAGGCCCGAAATTCTCTTGCCTGAAAATGGAAGCGGCTCGTGAAAGTGAAATGTCCCGTTTTCTATTATGGGTCTTCAGGTAGGTTAGTAGAGGACACCAATTTAACCGTTTTCAAGACGTTGGGAAGCCTTAGAAGAACGGGCTTCTGCAACACCTCCAGCAGGACGTTAAATTGGCCTCCTTTTCTATTGGGGGGGGGGAAGTCGTCTAAAAGGAAATTACCTTACGTATATTAAAACAGCTCTGGGGACTGAAGGCTTACAATAATCATTGACGTAGTTGCCGTTGGCAACACTACGAAGGGGGGGGGGGGGTAGGAGATCAAACACTCGCTTATATAAGAACAATCCTCAATTAAATTGCTCTCAAATTCCGAATTTAATTTCGAAACATCTTCAAATTCCACCCATACTGAGGTAACTTGGGACCTGCTCCTAGAATGTCGGAGAACTCTCTCACTCCCATGTTCTCGTGCTACGCTCCCAGGTGAACAGCATGGGTGCCATAAGCACAATCAGAGAACACTGTATAAACATCAGAGGTCCACGGTTGTTCAACATCCTCCCAGCGAGTATAAGAAATATTGCCGGAACAACCGTGGACATCTTCAAGAGAAAACTAGATAGTTTTCTCGAAGAAGTGCCGGACCAACAGGGCTGTGCTGGATATGTGGGCCTAATTTGGCTTCCCTTTTTTTTAAGGGGGGGTGGGATATATCAAGAAGGACATTACCTTACGTATATTAAAACAGCTCTGGGAACTGAAGGCTTACAATAACCATTAACGTATTTGCCGTTGACAACACTACACGTGGCACTCAAAACACAAACACTCGCAGATACAAGAACAATTTTCAATTAAATTGCTCTCAAATTCCGAATTTAATTTCCAAACATCTTCAAATTCCACCCTTACTGAGGTAACATGGGACCTGCTCCCAGAATGTCAGGGAACTCTCTCACTCCCATGTTCTCGCACTACGCTCCCAGGTGAACAGCAAGGGTGCCATAGGCACAGTCACAGACTAATGGAAGGAAGAGGCTGTTGTTCCTCACAGCGTGTCAACTGAACTTTCATCAAAAGCTGGAGTGAATGGTTTGTTTGGCTAAGGAGTTTTTTTTAATATGAACCACTCTTCAAGGAGGGTACTCACAGGCCCTACATAACAGATGGGACAGAAGAGGCCGTAAACACCTAACGACGGATGGGTTTGAGAATATTGTGATGGCTACTCCGGAAAAAGGTATGATGCACACCAAAATCATAGTTTTTAAGTATCCAAATTATTTGGATCCTGATTATCTTCTTAATAACAATGATAGTGTTGTTTGGGCAAAGAGGAAAAGTGTTCGTGGTGAAAAACAAAACCAGGTTTTTCCCTTGGTAAAGGGTGAGGCTCCAGAAGGACTTTACTGTGCATGAACTAAGTTACAGGAAAGTTGCAAAATACATTGAGGAGCCCATATTATGCATGAAGTGTTCTTGTTGGGGCAATATTGCTTGGAAATGCCAGTTTGAACCCAGGTGTCGGTACTGTGGTAAGAAACACGACTCTCGAAAGTGTAGAGTGAAGATTAAAAACTGTGAAAAATCGTCCCATCCTGTTGCAATTGTCGAGGCAGCCACACAGCTGGATCCTATCTATGTCGCATGAAGCCTCATCTGAGAGACTCCAGGACGGGTCCTACAAGTAGGATAGATTTATCCTCGAAGGAAGGAAAGATTGTGCAGCAGGAACATGGAGGAAACAGCTGGAAGCTAACGACAGCCCCTGTGAACAATGTGTGGGAGAAAGGAACGGAGATAATTAAGGCGACCCTAGGGAAAGTAGGTAATGCCGCTGAAAAAAAAATAAACCTTGTGAGGACAAGGTTCAGGACAATATAAT